AGAAAGATGCGGCCTGCATGTCTCACTGGCCGCTGACCCACCGGCCGGATGACCGCATCTCCCTGTACCTCCCCGCTTCAGTTCCCACAGCCCTCGGTCAGCGGCCTCTCCCAGATCACCAGCAGCCTGTATATCAGCAACGGGGCGGCCGCCAGCAACAGGCTCATGCTCTCCAGCAACCACATCACCTCGGTCGTCAGTGTCTCGGTGGACGTGGTGAGCACCTTGTATGAGGACATCCAGTATGTGCAGGTGCCTGTGGCCGACACTCCCGCGGCACCTCTCTGTGACTTCTTCGACCCCATTGCTGACCACATCCACGATGTCGGGATGAAGCAGGGCCGCACGCTGCTCCACTGCGCAGCCGGTGTGAGCCGCTCGGCTGCCCTGTGCCTCGCCTACCTCATGAAGTACCACACCATGTCCCTGCTGGAGGCCCACACCTGGACCAAGTCCTGTCGGCCCATCATCCGGCCCAACAGTGGATTCTGGGAGCAGCTCATTCGCTATGAGTTCCAGCTGTTTGGCAAGAACACCGTGCGCATGGTCAGCTCCCCCGTGGGACCCGTCCCTGACATCTACGAGAAGGAGGTTCGTTTAATGATTCCACTGTAAGCCATGCCCCAGCCCCCGCATCGGGGGTCAGAGGTGCAGATCTGCCATTGATCCTGCACTAAGAACTGAAACATCCTACTTTTGTGCTACAGAAAAAAACACAGATGTTGCCTTTTATCAGAGCAATAAAAAAGGAAGCGTGCCGTAGCTTTTATCTTGTAATCCATCTCTTTAAAGATTAAACTCACTAAGTGTTAAATGGTGAAGATAAGTTTCCTACCCGGTGAGTGACAGGTCATGGCTGTTGGCCAGAGGGGAGAGTGAGTAAGGCAGGTGGTGCCTGAGTCAAATGGACCGGCGCCCAAAGCAAGACTGGAATCCTGTGGCCTCCCCCTGAGACCAGCTAACCCAGGCCTGAGCGCCGCAATTCCACCTCGTTCTTTCAAACCAAGAGCCTTAAGCATCATGGCTCCTCCTCGCTTAACCTACTGGATAAGTGACCGTCCATGGTGCCCTGGGAACTCTAGGGGTTCCAGGCCAGTGCCGCTCCCACCTGCAACCACGGGGCCAGCTCCAGTTTTCTGGATTTGATATATGCGCATGATAATTTTCACAGACAGCATTCCACCATATAACATTTTTTAACTTTTTTCCCCCCAAGTGCTGTTGTACATAAGGTCTTGGCAGCCCCCCGCCAGCCTTTGCTGGAAGGCGGCATTCGTTTCTCTAAGGGCACCCGTGGAGGGAAGGCCTGCCAGCAGGCCCCGGGTTCCTCTCCCAGGCCCTGGCTCAGGAGGCTGGAGCTGCAGGCCCAAACCTCGCCTCGTACCAGCAGCGGCCATTTCCTTTTTTCCCTTCATCTCAGTCACTTGGCCCCGGAGCAGATCCATTCACAGAATGTATGCGGCAGAGTAAGGAGATTAAGGGCCCTGAGTTCCAGCTGGAGGCCTAGAGAATGAATGAAGGGGGAAAAAAAAGGAGAATGAATGAAGGGTCTTGGAAACTGGAGGGGGAGGAGGGAGGACATGGGGAGGAGGGAGCTTGAGAAATGGATCCCACAGAATTGCAAGTTTCAACTTCTGTCTGAGGCTTCACTGGGGGCGGGGCCAGATGGAAAAGAAAACCATCACTTCCCTCAGTCTGTCTGCCTGAAGCCGCAATGCTTTCAGGCATAACACTTGGGGGTAATTTGTCACCCCAATTCAATACAACTGATGCTGCTATGTGCTGGGCCCAGGACACGTCCCCCCTGTCCCCTGCTCACCCGGCCCGCAGCCATAGCTCTTCCCTGGCCTCCCTGCCCCTTCGGTATCTCCTCCACACAGGATCCAGACCGAACTGAAGGGCCGTTATCAGGAAATGTTTCTCCAACATCCTGGCTCTTGCCTGCCGCTCAGAACCTTCCATGGCTCTCCATGGTGTTTGGTGTTTCCAGGAAGTATCTGCAACCAAGCGGGGAGAGCGCAAGTTGCTGGGTCCCTGAGCTGACTTGGGAGCAGAGAAGGAAGCGAGAAGAGTCCTTGTTTGCCCCGCCCCCGGAATGGCAACCCCAGGACCCCTTGGGGAGGGGGCCGGGGGGGCCCCTGGCGGCTGAGGCTGAGACAAGGCCCCAGCTTTGTTCTGAATTCACAATGGCAGGATGCCCAGCTCAGAGCCAGCTTCCCCGGCTTCCTCCCAGGCAGGGCAGGGTGGTGGGAGCTGGGGTGTCCCTCCCGCCTGCAGCCCAGGGGGCCCTCCCTGTGCAGTGAAGGCTGGGGGTCGGGGAGCATGAGAAGCCTTGGGGGAGAAACAATGGCATCTGGAGTGAGCCCTCTCCTAACTTTCCTCGAGGACCTGTGAGGTTCCAGACCCTGTTGCTAAGCACTTGGCGGCCTCCCGGGGCGAGATGGGGGTAGGCTCTGCGGCTGCTCCCAGTTCACAAACAGGCACAGGAGGTGACGGCCCCGGCCCCGGGTCACACGGCTTAGACGTGCCAGAGCTGGGATTTGAACCCGCTCCCGCCCCTGATCTTGGCTATTAGTCTCTTCTGCCTGCTTCATCCATGTCCGTGCTGGGGAGACAGCAGCGGAGGGGACAGTGGCCTCACCCTTCCCCGGGCCCAGTCCGGTGGAAAGAGGCGATAAACCAGCGCTGAGAATGGAATGGGCACAGGGCCCTGCCTGCAGAAATGCAGGGATTCGCGGGTGACCTTTGACTCGGCGTGGCCAGGCCAGGGGCAGAGCCGGGCTGGAGGTAGGGAAGAACTGCCCAAGGAAGGTGATGTCTGTTATCCTGAGTCCCCAGGAGGCTCTGCCCGCCCAAAGCCGTCCATCCTTTGTCCCTTCTCTCCAAGCTGCGGATTGGACCCCGGAGGTGCCAGAGTGACACCACGACAGGGCTGGGCCACGGGCATCTCTGAGTCACGGGGAGGGTGGGTGGTGAGTGACTCACCCTGGGCCCACTTCCCTCTGCAAGGCCAGCCCGGGTGGAGGCCGGGGCCGGGAAACACTGCATCTGTCCTTCCTGGGCCAGGTGACTCCCAGGAAGTCACCTGGCATCTGGTGCCTTCCCCCACCCTCAACCGTGGGCTTATATAGCCCTGCCTAGCGCTGGCTGGCATAGCGGTCCTGCAGGAATTCTGTCTGTGCGAAGGCATGAATGACTCCTCCCTGAGTCCCAGGTCCCTGGATCCCAGCCCCAACCTGGTCTAGCTCTCCTCCTCACCAAGCAAGCAGAGACTGTCTCCACTTTCCTGGTGGACCTGGAGCCTCAGAGAAAGTGGGTGAGACGATGATAGCCCAAGATGGGGGCTAAGCCAGCTGACACCATCACCCCCCTTCTTCTCGGGCCCTGCCCATCGGGCTTCTCACTGGAACCCTCTCCTTGGGATCATCATACCCATTTTGCAGATACAGAAACTGAGGCTCAGGGAAGGGCGGCTACCCACCTAAGACATACAGTGAGGCGGGCAGAGTCCTTGCGGTTTTGGTTTTTTTGTTTTGTTGTTTTGAATCTTCACCCGAGGATATTTTCCCATTGATTTTTAGGGAGTGTGGAAGGAGGGGAGAGATAGAGAGAGAAACATTGATGTGAGAGAGGCACATCGATTGGTTGCCTCCCGCATGGGCCCGAACAGGGCCGGGGATGGAGCTGA